TCAATTGCATTTATGACCGAAAAAGGTATAAAAGGCGAGCAAAACGAACGAAGTAAAGAGTATGACCGATACGATCAATCAACTAGTATATTTAAATAGTTTTAACTTAGTACAATTAAATAAACTTTCTAGTAAATATTTTACAATAGTAAATAAATCAATAAAGTAATATTTTATCTTAAAGCAAGTAAGATATAAAGAACAGTATGCAGTGTAATGAATTAACCTTTTCTCAGTTCAACGAAGCCCAACAACCTTTGGAGATAAGGTATTTAACCGGAAACGGAGTAGGGTCATCCTCCGATACCGCGACATGGCGCTCCCACCTAGGCTTAGAGAATCCATCTAAGCCAACAACCATCGAACCTCCGATGGAAGAAGTGGATATCTTCATCTTGGAAACGGAGTTCCAAGAGGAAGAAGATATCGTAGAGCAGATGCGACGGATGACAAGAGGGATAATAATAGAACCCAGTTCTATTCCTGAGTCATTGGTAGAAAACGATCTTAGAAATACAAACGACAACACTCCACCCACATGGGTGAAGCAACCACCCTCAAAGTTTAGTGGAAAATGGGATGAGAGTGTGAACGCTTCTTTAAGCTATTTGCCAAGCATCTAGTATCCATGAATGCCCAATTTGAAGATAGTGAGATCGTCAGATACTTCTTAGCGTATTTAATAGGAGAAGCACTAAAAGTAGGAAATCAACTGGCCGTATTGTATCCTGACTGGGATACGTTCCTTAAAAAGTTTGTGCGCCAGTTTGATGGAAGCGAGAGAAGAGAGAGAGCAAAGAAGGAGTTGGAAAAATTAGACTTGTACAAACAAGGAGCGTTGGCGACGTTTGTAGACTTTACCAAAATCATCAAAGCGATGAAGAAGGGGAAGGACGAAATTTTTAAAGTAAAGGAACTGCTAATGAAATGTAACGAACAGGACCGTTATAGATTATTGCAGTTAAAAGTAAAGAAAGCCGAGAAAATAATGGAGTATTTTCTGGAACAAGAGGAAAATAATAGGATGTACGGAAAGGCTAAAAAGATGAACCAAGTGGAGTCAAGTAGTAAAGCCAGGAGCGGGAGTAATAATGAAGTCAAGAAACCTACTCCAGG